GCTGAGGCCTCCCAAGTGCTGAGACTCCCTGGCCACATACTTTGCTGTATGTACAGTGAGTGACTCACTTTGGTGCTCATCTGTGGGCTTGTAGCAAGAGATGTCTTTCTGAGGTGCTGGGAGAGCAGAGCAGGGGTGTGAGACATGGTAATATAGTCTCACCAAAATGTATGAATGCTTGTGAGGTACCTGTGGCAGCAAAGTCACAGAAAAACTTGATAATAAAAACTGAATGTCTCTTCTTATTGGATGCTCCTTTATCCCCTATTTGTTGCATTTTGGCTCTTTCTGCTATATTTTTGCATTCTTTATGTCTCCTTTTGATGTCTTTCTCTCTGTAGTTCTACATTTTGTTCATTTTTATTTACTGTCTCTTTTTAATCATGGATGTCTTTACTCCTTGAGCTTTCCTAAATACTTTCTCTTTTGTCTCTCTAGTGATCTGTCATACAGTTTGGCCACCTGCCATGTGATGGAGCAATGTAACTGAGTTGTGGGTTGACTTAAGCTTGCGTCACCACCCTGGCCCAGATTGCATCTGCAGTCATCTGGATCTGACTACATGCCTGAACTGATAAAAGATGCTGTGGAAACATGGATATCTAGGGCCTTGGCAAAGTGTCCTCATATACATGTGTGTGCATGTTGATCTGTGAGTACATCCAAAATGCCTTTCTGTTCTATCAGCTCAGCTGACTTGGTCTTCCTTTGGGCCTCGCAGCAGCTTATTGGAGGTGGGAACAGACCTGCAAAGAATATGAGAAGACTGGGATTAACCCTGAAAAGGTGGGTATGCCTGTTGCCCAGGGATGTGTGATGACCCTAAGCAAGAGATCCAAAACCCCTCACTTAACCTTTGTATAATTCTTTCTCTTCCAGTGAGTCTCTTTCTCTGCCTGTGACTCATCTTCTAAATGTAGACTGTAAGCCTCTCAGAGGACTGCCTCTCTCTCTGAACAGTGAAGCATAAAAAATAGCAATGCTGTTGAATAACCAGTATTATTTTTTAACACAAAAAACTTGAGAACTGGCTTACTGCATCTGTGCTTCTCTGTCAAGGGATTTATTGGTTCCCCCACAAAGCAGCAGAGCAGGTACTGCCCTGATCCTGAACAAGAAGGTTGTTCAGACAAGAGGTCTCAGGAGCAGCACAACTGCAGTACATTGGGCAGTAGATGGTATAATGAAAGATAGGTAGGGTCTGACAAAGGCCAACAAATCTTTCATATCACCTGCATACCTCCCTCCCTAATTCTGACCCATTTGTAATTGGCAGCATCCCTGTGGTAACTGCAGTGTGGCTGACATGGACATCTATCCTCCCTTCAGCAGGTTGCCCAACACCTATTTCCTTTCCCCCCAGCCTCTACATATGCTGCCCAGCTGCCCAGTGCACCTCTGTCCTTGACATTTAGTGACCTTGGTAATCATACCATTCATCTTCTATCCCTCACTTCAAACCTTGTTTGGTCTTTGACTTTTAGCAGATCTCTTACTAGAGCCAAACTGGTTCCTTTTTTCAGATGCGGTTGCCAAATTCTGTCTCTTTATTGCTTGATCCTTTGGAAGACAAAAGATTGAGAATCAGTAGAAGAAAATATTGTGATGTTGCCATGGCAAGCGTATGGTCTTTCTAACAATTTACAGTTGCACTGTGATCCCAACAAGAGCCTCCCTCTGATTACCTGTGATCTTTCTCTTACTGTAAAAATGTTTCTTTTCAAAACATATGTGTCCATGCAAAAATGCCAAGATTCTCCATGCAGTTTAAAGTAGATTTACAAATTAAGGAAAGGCTGGTATGGAACAAAAGGAAAATCAAATTATCCCAGCAACTTTGCACTTCCTTGTAATCCAGGCCCTGTCTTTGCAGGTATTATATGGCATACACACTCAATGAGGCCTATGAGAATTTTCCTTGAGTGAAGACTGCAGGGGTTAGCCCAAACAAATCACACTATTCTAAAATTGGCCAGTAAGTAATAGGTGGGCTCTCTAGAGAAAAAAAACAACAAAAAAAAACAAAAAAAAACCCCAGGAATAAAACTTAGTGAGAGCTTGATCTTCTGCAGTGTCATTTTTCACAATTGAGTGATTGACAAAACTAAAAGAGGTGAGCTTAGTCACCTTGAGGATGGATCTTGTTGTGGGATAGAAGTAAACCCACTGGCATGCTCATTCCTATTAAGTCTGATACAACTGCTGCATGATAAAAATAATTTTCTAAAAATCAACTGTAAAGCTAGAGGTCAGCCAATAAGACAGTGACTTGGCAAATTTTTCATTGCAAAGTGTATGATAGTTTCATGCCTTCAATCTGTATCACTGCAGACAGTGCTGAATTCAATGAATTTTTAATGTCTCTAGGAATTCTGTTGTTTTCCACGAATAGATCATGAAAAGAAATCTTTGATTTCTATTAATTATATATCTTTGAATGAAAAGCTATTTTGTGTGTACCTATGTTTAAAAACAGGATATGTAACAAACACTTATTTTTACTAAACTAATAAAACAGATGAATGTATCAAAGCATGTTTTCATGTAATTTCTTTGGTCTTGTATCCCATAGTTTAAATGAAAGGTCATCAAGTCCAGTCTCATGTATCTCAGGACACACGGTTCATTGCATCAGGTAGCTGATGTCATACAAAAGTGTCTTGTTTCTGAGTAAGAGCTCTGCATCCACAGGGCACCATGATCTTGATCAGAGCCCCAGTGTGCAGCACTCAGGGTAGTACTTATGTGTTGCACTTGGGTAGCACCTAAGACAAGATCTTTCTGAAAAATGTAATATCTGGCTTGAAGAGCTCAAGCCCTGTGAACAACAAGCAGGCAAAGGTTAGGGAACGTAGAATGGGACAAGCAGAGAGAATTTGTAGAAGGCTTGTAAATCCATTCAGTTAACAGTAAGCAGGCTGCAGGACTGGGATCTGTAGAAGGAGAGTGGGTCCGAAGTGTGCTGGGGTTTAGCAGATGAGCTCCTGGAGGCTGCATCCCCCAGGGACTGCATCCAGCATCAATGTGGTACGTGGGAAGTATGTCAAGAGTAGGTGTGTCAGGGGAATTCATGGCAGCAGCACTTCGGCAGAGACACAGAAAGCTGGAGGTTCCTGCAAGGTCCTCTGCAAGGCAGAGGAGAAAAGGAAGACTATAAGACTGCCCTGTGTGCTACCTGTTGTTAGCAACTTGGATGTGGATCTCCAAAAACCCTCTTCTAGAGAAGGTTTCTTATTGTTTGTAATGAGGTAGTTGTCAAACCTTGTGATTGTGAGCAGTCCTGAGGAGAAGGACTTGGGGGTGGTAGCAGGTGAGAAGCTCAACATGAGCCACCAGTGTGTGCTGGAGCCCAGAGAGCAGCTGCATCCTGGGCTGCATCAAAGGAAGTGTGGCCAGCAGGGCCAGGGAGGTGATTCTGCCCCTCTGCTCTGGTGAGGCTACATCTGGAGTGCTGTGTACAGTTCTAGGGCCCTCAGCACAAGAAAGATACAGATCTGTTGTAGAGTGTCCAGAGAAGGGCCACCAAGATGATCAAAGGGCTGGAGCACCTCTGCTGTGAAGACAGGCTGAGAGAGTTGGGGCTGTTCAGCCTGGAGAAGAGAAGGCTCCAAGGAGACCTTAGAGCACCTTCCAGTGCTTGAAAGGGGCTACAGGAAAGCTGGGGAGGGGATTTTCATGAGAGAAGATAGTGATAGGACAAGGGGTAATGGTTTTAAACTGAGAGAGGGAGATTTAGGTGAGATATTCGGAAGAAATTCTTCACCATAAGGGTGGTGAGGAACTGGGATGGGTTGCCCAGGGAGATTGTTGATGCCCCATCCCTGGAGGTTTTTAAGGCCAGGTTGGATGAGGTTTTGTGCAACCTGGCCTAGTGGTGGGGTTCCCTGCTCATGGCAGGGGGGTTGGAACTTGATGACCTCTAAGGTCCCTTCCAACCTGAATGACTCTGTAATTCTATGAACTTCAGGCGAAGTGCAGCTGGAGGATGAGGTGTGGGACAGCCTAAACCAGCTCATTCCCCTCTGCTCAGTCGATGCCAAGGAGAGAACACTGAGCTTTAGTGAGATGGGGGGGGGGGCTTATCTCCCTGACTGCCAAATTCCAAAACAATCCCAGCTTTTCCAGGCATCCCCCTGCTCCAGAGAGTTCCTTCCAGCATGATCCACCCACAGACATGTTCCAGGAGGGCAAGGGAAGGATGGGAACCTGCAGTGAAGCACTCCTCTCAGGTGAAGGATCCTCCCAGGAGCTGGGAAACAGAAGTGGGAATCAAGACACCAGGTCCTCAGTCAGTGTCATGGCACCAGCTCATTGCACCACTTAGAACAGGAATTTGAGGACTGTGGCCTAAGTAACAAGAGCTCAGGCTTGTAACTGCAGCATCAAAGGAGCCAAAGCAGGTATCCACTATGCTGAGGGTATCTCCAGGTTCTGTGGCAGAGTAGAGGTCACTCAGCTATGCCACCAACCCTCACCCCACCCTGCTCCATCCCAGGCTCTGAACAATGATTTATGGGGACAAATCACACAGGACACAGTGACTCAAGCCACGTCTCCTCCCTTCCCCAGCCTCCAAAACAACAAGGTTCTGGGAGTCTGAAAATAAATCAGTAAAGGAAGACAGTTGTTTCCTTCCCTGTGAGTATCAGGCTGTTACTCAGATCAGGAAGGAGTCTCCTATGTGCTGCAGCAAAGTCTTTGGAGAAGAGACATGGGAGATGAGAAGAAAAACCCAGCTCTGGTTGAAAGATTAAACTCAGAGTTGCAGTTGCACAGACTGCTAAAACAATTAAACACTGAGGCCTTCCAACCCTGGGAAGCAGGATGCCTCCACCCAGAACAAAGTCATCATACTTGGAAAGAGAAAAGTAAATAGACCTTCCACAATTCCCATTGGAATTCCACTTACAACCATCACTTGGGGGCCTACATAACTTTTGGAGCCAAGGGACACGAAACTCAACCCATGCAACAACCCCGCTCCAAAGATGACAGGAAACTTACCCCAAGCTCCCTTTTTTCTTGATGATTTTTGTCCTGCTCTTCACTTTATAACTGGAAAATGAGGCATCACCCACGGAGGGTTTTGTCCCACCCAGACCAACAGACCCAGTGCTCAGAGGGGGTGGGAGGCTGAGGGTTGGAGGCTTCTTCTGATCCTCAGATCGCCACCGGAACGCTGACCTGGAGGTGGAGGGTGAAGTCTGCAAGCTGGAGGCTTTCCATTTGTATTTGCTGGGAGAAACACCCAGTTTGGACTGCAGTCCTGATTTCTTCAGCTTTGCTCCCAAATCTGCTTTTGGTGAGAGTTTAAAACCTTTGTCCACTCCCCCAGCAATCTTCTTAGCACCTTCAGAAGCCCTTGGGCTGACCCATCTCTTCACAGGACGAGAGGATTTACCAGGACTTGCAACCCACGTGTAATTAGTTTTCCTGAACTTTGAAGCTTTGCTGGAGATGGATGTCGAGGCAGCTCTTTGGAGACCAGCAGCTTTGGGGACTGTGGAAAACCTGCCCTTCGTTGAAGCCAACCCAACCACTGAAGCAGCAGCTTGAGCAGGTTGAGAGCACGTCCCACCACTCCCAAGGAGCTTCGGCTCTCTGAAAACAACCCCAACTTGCTCACAACTGGACTGTCCTGGAGCTGGTGGTTCCACCTTCCTCTGTACCAAGTGCCAAGCTGGTTGGTGACCTGGCAACACCAAAGGCTCCTGAGGCTCTGACTTCAAGGTCACAGCACTTTCACTGGTGCTTCCACAGGAGGCAGGGGAGGTTCCGGCCACCTCGCTGGCCAGAAGCACCTTTCTGGGTTTCTCCTCCACATCCACGTAGGCTGAGCTGACAAATCGGTGAGAGGAGCTGAAGGAAACAGAAAGGGAAGGTCTTCTCTCTTCCTTCTGGTTGTTGTACTGGGGTGTTGGCACATCTTTCCCCCCCCCTGCAGCAGCCACCACCGTCTGCAGCCCCGAAAACTCCCCGTAAGAACTCACGGCAGCCAAACCTTCCCCATCTTCCAACAGACCAGCCCTCTGAGGCAGCTGGATCCCCACAACGATATTCCCATCTGTGGTTAAGTCCACGTGTCTTTCTGGGGACAATTCTGCTGGCTCAGGTCTCTGGTTCTCCTCATAACTTCCAAAAGCCTGAGAGGTGCCAGCACCACCAGCGCTTCCGGCATCAAACCCCGGTCCCGGTGGCCGGTTGACGAGGGAGTATTTTTTCTTCCAGGAGTGACTCTGGTGAAGCTGGAAGTCCCTGGGGGCTTGTTGGGGGTACCTGGCTGAAAATGCCCCCCTCCTTCTGTAGCCAGGCTGGTGGGGGTTGTTCCATCTCAGTGGCAGTGACCGTGGCACGTCCCCGTGTGTGTTTTTGTGGTTGTTTATGAGACCTGAGGAGAAGAAGACAAGAAAGACATGGAGGTGCTGGAGAAAGTCCAGGGAAGGCAACAAAGCTGGTGGAGGGTCTGGAGTCTTATGAGAAACATCTGAAGGAACTGGGATGGTTTAGTCTGGAGGAAAAGAGGCTGAGGGGAGACCTGATTGCTCTTTACAACTGCCTGAGAGGAGGTTGGAGAGAGGTGAGAGTCGGGCTCTTCTCCCAAGGAACAAGTGACAGAACAGGAGGAAATGAGCTCAAGTTGTGCCAGGGGAGGTTGAGAGCAGAGATTAGAAAATACTTCTTCACTGAAAGGGTAATGAAGCACTCTAACAAGCTGCCCAGGGAGCTGGTTGAGCCTCCATCCCTGGAGGGGTTTAAGAGATGTGCAGATGTGGTGCTGAGGAACATGGTTTAAGCCCTGGACTGGGGGGAGTTGGGTTTAAAAAAAGTCCCTGGTAATTTTATTTCCAGGTAACATTTCAAAGCAGCCTCTGAGGAGCTGCCTGTGCATGTAGGCCAGCACATCAGCCCCAAACACAAAGCACAGAATCACAGAGGCATTTTGGTTGAAAAGACCTTTAAGATCATCCAGTCCCACCCATTCCCCAGCCCTGTCAAGGCCACCACTGCCCCATGTCCCTCAGCACCATCTCCAGGGCTTGGAAACCCCTCCAGGGATGGGGACTCCCCCCCTGCCCTGGGCAGCCTGGGCCAGGCCCTGACAACCCTT